AGAGCACTCATATTGATATCAGCCCTCGAGGCCTGAAGACAATATATTGATATGAAGCGCTTTTTCAATATTATGTTGATGTTGATTTTGCTCATTGATATTTTTCAATAACCGAGCCTCTGGGGATGTATACACCCAAGCGCAATGGGCTCACACTTTGCAGCAAGAAGCAGACACGGTTTTGCGCATGCAGAAACCACCCCGCACTGACGCATGTGCGCGTGTGTGCGTGTGCGTCCAAGTATACACGTCTGCATCATGTGTGGCTGTCGGTTTGTATGCATGTATGCATGACGACAGGCATGGATGTTTGTATGTAATTATACATGTATGCATGCACATATGTATGTTTGCATGACTGTTTAACATCAATGTATGTACGTATGCGCATAGGTGGGTAGGTTATAGGGTAGGTGGCAGGTAGGTAAGCAGGTATAGGTATGTTACACTACATATATCTACATATGCACATGTCCATATTGACATGTACCAACACTTCGTGTATGCATACATGTTTGTGGTTGTTTAAAACACAGTTTACAAACATACACATATGTAGGTGCTTATACACACACACACAAACATATATATATATATATATACACATGAAATTATATATCCGCCCTCATACTCCTATCCGTATGGTTCTAGGTACTTCAGTATGTTTTTTATGTACATACACACATGTATACATACACACGAATAAACATCTGCGCATGTCTGTGTGTATGTATTTCTATTTTACATATTCACATGCATACATACATACAGACATACACACACATCCTATCAGACACAGCAGAGCATTGCTTTGACCTCATGGCAGGGCACGGCATGGAAAGGCAAGACATACAAAACAACACACTACAGCACAATACTGCACAGTACAACACAGTACAAGCAAGCATGCAGCTATTCATAATATGTGTGTACATGCATGCATTCACGCGTACATACATATCTGCATGCCTACATGCAGGCATACATACATACATATACACATACATATTGCGTCTGCACCTACGCAAGCGTACACGTATACATACGCGTTGCAATTGCACATGCACATATATACACGCACACACACACACACACTGCACACACATACATACATACATACATACATACATACATACATACATACATACATGCGTACCTACATACGTACCTACACACATACGTACATACGTACATACCTGCATACATACACACATATGTATACGTACGTACATACATACATACATACATACATACATACATCAATACATACATACATACATACATACATACATACATACAGATATACATACATGCATGCATGCATGCATGCATGCATGCATGCATGCATGCATGCATGCAAGCATACATGAATACATGCATCCATGCATTCATACATGCATGCATACATACATATATGCATACACACCTATACTTACTTGTACACGTGCATGCATTTACATACACACACATATCTATACACATACCTATACACACACACACATATATATATATATATACGAATATGTATATGTGTGTGTGTGCTTGTTGGTTGGGCTACTATTTCTTGTTCAAACTATAAGAGGCAGGGACCTCGGACGTGAGGCAATTGTTCGAGCAACCACCCGGGTCAGGGCTTACACAATTTCTTATCGGGTATGACTTCAAAGGGCAGTCCACTTCCACATGCCAGACGCAACGCTGGACCCTTATCCCTACACCCTAAACCCTAAAGATTTGATCCGAAGCTTGGCAAGCACAGCGCCCGAAAAGCATATAAAAAGGCTCCCCGTGCGGGTGTTGCGAGGGCATAGCATACGTAGTAACACTAAGAAGCGTCGTAGTTTGGGATCTCGGCAGGGCACTTGGAGGTTCATGGGTAGTTATAAGTGGAGATATAAGTCCTCTAATATGGGTTATAAGTACAGTTACTCTACTTGTAACCCCACTTATAACTACCCATGAACCTCCAAGTACTTCATGCTGAGACTCGGATGTTCGAATTGGAGGTTGTTTTGATCGAGGTCTCCTTCTCTAGACTCTAGCTGCTTCCCAACTCCATCTGGCAAATGAGTTCATTTGGGCTTCATCTGTAACGGGTTAGACGCGCAAGCTTGTAGCAGTGACTTGCTGTCAGGCTGTTAGATTTGGATTCTGGGGGGGGTTGCTAGACCAGTTGACCAAAGCCCGACCCCATACAGTGCGGTGGGCATCTACACCCTCAGCTTCCCAAAAAGCGTTAAGTTGGCATCGCAGGCTTGGCGAAGGCAGAACAAGAAGGGCAAGGTGGGGCAACGGATTTCGCCTTGCAGGACTGTCGTTTGAATCCTGGTGACATCTTATCACGTGAAGACTGCCGCAGCCTATGTGTTTGTTCCTGAGCCCGTGCGTTTCATTCATTCAGTGGAGGGGCCAGAGACGGCATGCCGGTAAGAGGGGTTGTAATAAAGTGTCGAAGTGTGAGACCCTCACCTTATTCCTTCCTGTATGGTTCGAGGATTGCTGCAAAATATGTACCTGAGCTTTGTGCCAGAACATTTGAGAAGCGAAAGGGTTTAACGTTTAATACTTACATGAAGCAGGTCATTCTGCGACGGCTGCCCCCCCCCAACGCAGCATTCTGACATGGGGGCTTCAACTTTCAGGGTCTTGTCGGTATCGTGCATGTGAGGAAGATCAATATATATATATATATATGCACACGCTGCTGGCCTGGCTGCTTGGCTTCCTGCCCGGATGTAAGTATGTGTGTTTGTATGCGTGTATATCTGTACCTTCGTACGTACGTCTTATTGGTTTACCCAGTCTACCCTGTTGGAATTGGCTGTTGGCGGCCTGCCTGCTTGTGGCTGACCTGCAAGGAGACAAGTTTTATGCGGTCTGGTTAAATAGCGAGGTTTACGGTTTACGCTGCAGGTGTAGCGTGGAACGAACGAAGCCCCGCCAAACAAACACCTTTGCAAAGCCCCGCACTCTAGAACCCAAGACAAACCAAAACCTGAACCCGACACCCCGAAACCCGAAATTTTACGAAACCCTAAAAGTCCTAAAGCCCCGAAGAATCGTAGAGACCAGAGATCCCAAACAGGTCGAGGAGGGGGGCAAGAAGCGGACCAGGAAAGCCCAGAAGTTCCAGAAGGCCATCGCCGGTGCCTCAGGTCCTAAGGAGCAAAAGGGATAACTGATAACTAAGGCTTTAAAGTTGCCCAAGAGGTTTAGGGTTCGGAGTCAAGGGGTTCGAGTTTCGGGATACTGAGGCTGTTCGGGATTATAGGCATCTTAGGGGAGCTGACGTTTGGGTTATGAGTAATAGGAGACCCATTCATGAAACACGTACCAACTTGGTGTGATGTGCTACCTGTAGTCTCCATTGTAGTTCCTTTTTGGGGTTCTCGTTTAGGGTCCTAAACATAAAATTGCAGAAGATTGGCTAAGCCAACAAAATAAAAGGAAATACGATGGATACTGTAGCACTATAGGTATCCCGAGCATGCATACTGGAGGATGTAGGGTTTGCGGAGCCTCTTCTGTGCCAAATCCTGTTGACACTGTTGCTTTAGGGTTTAGGGTTTAGGGTCACAATGGCTTCGTTGCCTCATGGGCGTTTTGCTCCTGCAGCGCAGAACCGTAAGCCTTGAAGGGCTTGAAGTCTCTACAACCTAAAATGTTACCGTACAGAGCCACATTTGATCTTCAGCAAGCCTACTGACACTGAGGGTGAGGCCAAGGCTGAGGCTTTTGACATGAGGGTTTTTCCGAATTTTTCTAGTACTTGAACTTTGAACCTCCTTGAAGGTTGACTTGTTTTGGGCCTGGAGCATCGGGTTTGCGATTTCTTTTTTGGGGGGGAGGGGGGTGATGCATCATGGCTGTTAGAGCTTCAGATCTTCGGGGCCTGGGGTTTAAAATGTGGGGCATAAACGGCTGTTGGATTCAGAGTTCAGGTTTTCCCCGACAGTGGCACTGTGGCAGCGTGAGATGGGTTTTACGGTCACTTTACCTCTGCAAGCATCTTCGACGACGATGACGTTCTCGCCACAGTATTGCTGCGGCCAAGTTCGAATCGTGATCTCGCGACTGCCAGTGCCTTTTTGGGGTGTTCGGTTCCGCCAGAGTCCAGCTCGTATTTTGGGGGGTGCGACTCCTCTTCCCGCCATACTCCCGTGCTTATCTGCCTCTCGATCTCGAGGTTGCTCGAATGTCGGTCCTGCTCGCACCACGGTGAAACTCCAGACCCTGAACTCCTAAAACTCTAGGCTTCCCCCCAAAAAATGCCCATATAAACCCGACCAACACCGACCCAAGGTCGGCATGAGCTTGGACGACCTCAAGAAGAGGAAGGCGCAGCGCCCGGAATTGCGCCCGGACCTCGGAGGGCCTTTGAGAGCTTGGCCGTAGGGGCAAAGAGACCCTGCGGCCTAGACCATAAACTACAGCATATACGGTCACCACCCTAGACCCGAAAGCTTAATATATGGCCTAGACAATTTCCTATACTATTTTTTGGGGGCTCCTTATAAGTATAGTATAATGGACCCCCAAACCCTCTTCTAATTCTTAAGGCCCCTATACTAAACCCTAAACCCTATAACTAACTACGACCAGTATCGCTACAGACCTGTGAGTGTCAAAAACAAAACCCTGTAAACCCTAAACCCTGAACCCTATAAGCCCTGAGCCCTACAAGTCCTATACATAAGCCCTAAACCCTGAGCCCTATAAGCCCTAAACCCTGAACCCTATGAAACCCTAAACCCTGAACCCTATGAAACCCTAAACCCCTGAACCCTATGAAACCCTAAACCCTGAACCCTATGAAACCCTAAACCCCTAACCCTATGAAACCCTAACCCCATGAAACCCCAAACCCCGAAAGCCGATATGGGTAGTTCCCTAAATTAGGGTCTCTGTTAGGGTCCTTTTTATAAGGGTGCCATACTATATTGGGGACCCCAAAAGGGACCCTAATTTAGAGAACTACCCTTTTGAGACCCTATGAAACCCTAAACCCCATGAAACCCCAAACCCCGAAAGCC